CTGCCATAATTCTGTTGTTGACAAATACAGTAATCAGTCATCTGTTTTATACACATTACTACCAGACAAATACAGTAATCAGTCATCTGTTTTATACACATTTGTATTTGTCTGGTAGTTTTTTATACACACTGCAATCAGTCATCTGACTACCAGACAAATACAAATGTGTATAAAACAGATGACTGATTACTGTATTTGTCAACAACAGAATTATGGCAGAAAGCAACAGTTAAAACTAAGCTGAAATGTGGAAACAAAAGTTTGAAACATCCTCCATTAAAGATGACAGTTACCTTACTTTTATTTACGAGACAGTAAACACACAGTATTTAGTTATAATTCAAATAAAATCAGAAAGTTTCTTGAAGAAAGCCCCAAAGAAAAGAATTTGAATGAACAGATAATAAAGAAATTCCAAAACAAAATGAAAATATTAAAACTTTCATGAAATGAAAGGGAAATATGGAAGTATTTAAACAGTTGTAAGAAACAACTTTCAACATCGTAACATTATATGTTTGGTTGTTATGGTTTGTCAGTTTTTAACATTATATGTTTGGTTGGTATAGTTTGTCAGTTTGTAACATTATATGTTTGGTTGGCATGGTTTGTCAGTTTGTAACATTATATGTTTGGTTGGTATAGTTTGTCAGTTTGTAACATTATATATTCGGTTTGTCAGTTTGTAGCATTATATGTTTGGTTGGTATGGTTTGTCAGTTTGTAACATTATATGTTTGGTTGGTATGGTTTGTCAGTTTGTAGCATTATATGTTTGGTTGGTATGGTTTGTCAGTTTGTAACATTATATGTTTGGTTGGTATGGTTTGTCAGTTTGTAACATTATATGTTTGGTTGGTATGGTTTGTCAGTTTGTAACATTATATGTTTGGTTGTTATGGTTTGTCAGTTTGTAACATTATATCTTTGGTTGGTATGGTTTGTCAATTTGTAACATTATATGTTTGGTTTGTCAGTTTGTAACATTATATGTTTGGTTTGTCAGTTTGTAACATTATATGTTTGGTTGGTATGGTTTGTCAGTTTTTAACATTATATGTTTGGTTGGATGGAATTAGTTAGGTATGACATGACTGAACCTGAATTTATAGATCTATCAAAAAAAATACTATCATTTTTACTAATGTAATTACATATACAGAACATAAAGCAGCTTTTACCAATTATAACCAATCAAAATGTCCCAATAGTACAGACAAAAAAAAAAAGAGATGAACATTAAAACTAAAATGTTACACGATTACAAAGAACAGACAATAAACAGCGAACACATCTTGGTTAAACCTACGAAGCCATGTTTTTTAGATTCTCCTCATTATACAGAATGTTGAGTACATTATATTAAAATGATTTTTTAATATTCAAATCAGCAAGTCACATGACAATCACAACTAATCGACGTGTGGAACGGCACATATCAGAACTACATTTTAACACTGTTTAGTGTTACGTAGGTAATGTGATGCCACTGAAAATTAATCAGTTAACATCCCTTCCTGATGCAAAATATTCATGCTCTCAAATCATAAAGATGTGTTCGAATCAGGATTTAGAATTTCCAAGATGGAAATATCCTTTCCACTTAATGACACTGGAAAAATCACGAGCACTAAGACCATACAGAAAGAGACTTATAACAGTTGAAAATTTATGAAGGCAAAGTAGTCCATGTACCTCAGGCAACAGTACACAACATAATCCAGAAGGATATTCATCTGGAAATGAGACCTACAGGGTTATAGGTTCACCAAGATAAGACTTCCAGTCATACCTCCCATTAAACTGTCGCATACTTCAAGCAACTGAAGAATGAAATGTGTATTCATACTATTCCATATGAAAACATACTAGTCAAGTATGCAGCACCTATAGATATTTGTACAATCAGATTTTGAAATGGCCATTGGAAAACTGTTGTCCTCATACACCAGATGGAAATTGTGCAGAGAGGATTGGTGTGCTTTGAACATGACAATGACAGTCTCATAACAGAACCTTCTGTTATGAAATCTGTGTTGCAGGTCTATTGTACAGATGTACAGTATTCAGACAGAGCATGACCATATATGTCGACATAGTCTGTTACGACATGGCAAGGTTCCAAAATCATTGTAATATACATTGTACTCAACCTCTGTAGTAGATGATATTACTATAAGAAAAAAAATAACCTCTTCACTAGACATTTTTGCAAGTAGAGATTCCTCATGGCAAGGTTTCAAAATCATTTTAATATACATTGTACTCAACCTCTGTAGTAGATGATATTACTATAAGGAAAAAAAATAACCTCTTCACTAGACATTTTTGCAAGTAGAGATTCCTCAGGAGTACCAACAATACGCATAATTCTAGTAAGCTGATTGATGTCTGACAGAATTAAGGATACACAATTAATACAGGAAAAAAAAAGCACCTACAGCCCAACATTATAATTTATAAAATATTCTTCTGAAAGCAAGAAAACTTTCAACGAGGTTGTGGATCCTGAAAAACACACACCTTCAATGTACTGATTAAAAAAATATTAAAATGTCAAAACTAAAATGTTTAGTTATGGGCTTTCTTGCTTTGAATATTTTTTTAAGTCATAAGTTTTGTTTCAAATTTTTTCTCAAGAAGCAAGAATTTTATTTGGGGACTGATGTGGCACGGGGCATTCAAATGCCAAAGGTGTCTGTAAACATGGTCTGCTTTTATTCCCCAATAGTTTTTTACAAGTCTAACTAAAATGTTAACAGTTTTAAGGTTACCTAGCCTTTCTTTTGTTTTACACCAAAAGTTATCTACAAATAAAACTATCAAACTTGCAAAAAGGAATCTGGGTGGGGGGGATATTCTTCATGCCCTTTCAAAAGAAAATCTCCAATAGTGAAAACAGGTGAGTGAGAAGTTAATAAAACAATAGAACAAATCAAAGATTTACGAATCCCATACTTAAAAGATATAACAAATCAACATGCACGTTTAAAAACATAAGACAAAAAAAAAGGAAAACTCCTCATGCATGCAAAGTTAAACATAAAAAAATAAAACTTACACTATCACTAGTGATTTTCTTTAGAAAGTCTTCAGATGGAGTGCCTAAGATCTGCATAATCAAATTAAGTTGGTGAATGTCTGAAACGGCCAGCTAAGGTCCCTTCCAAATAACATGCACCAGCACCACAAAGAAATCACATTATTTCTTATCTCATGCAAATTTAGATACAAACCGGAAAAGGAAGAAACAGTAATGAGCCATAAGGTAAAACATGCACACACTGATATCGCGTACGTAAAAGTACGATCCAATAGCCAAAAGTACGCATGCAGTTGTACTGTCACACATAAAGAAAACATCTTTATTATACATCAGAACAATTCTAAGAAAATTATAATTTTCAAAATAAAAACCATTTACAAATTCTCCTAACATGCTGTATTTCACAAGTCAACATTATTTCTTAAACATTAAAAACACAATTCCGGTTACGAGTGTATCTGTTATGAAAATAAAAATAGTACAATAAAAGTTTACAGGTTTTTGGAGTTGTTACAAATGAATAATTTATATTTGTTTCATCACCTCTAGACTACTTGCTTTGAGTGTAAAGTTTACTGAAAATACTTGTTTTGACTTTGAAATATCTCAACAAAAATAAAACTTTATCTTTGAAAATAATATAGATTCTGTACCATCTGCCTAATAAGTGTCTTAATTTAATACAGAGCTAAGTTCTCTGTAAATAACCGCTTAAGGTACGTAAACAAGTTAACACTCAGGTTATAATAAATCATAAGCGTATTAATGTAATACAGAGCTAAGTTCTCTGTAAATAACCGCTTAAGGTACGTAAACAAGTTAACACTCAGGTTATAATAAATCATAAGCGTATTAATGTAATACAGAGCTAAGTTCTCTATAAATAACTGATTATGGTACGTAAACAAGTTAACACTCATGTTATAATAAATGATAAGTGTATTAATGTAATACAGAGCTAAGTTCTCTGTAAATAACCGTTTAAGGTACGTAAACAAGTTAACACTCATGTTATAATAAATGATAAGTGTATTAATGTAATACAGCGCTAAGTTCTCTGTAAATAACCGCTTAAGGTACGTAAACAAGTTAACACTCATGTTATAACAAATGATAAGTGTCTTAATGTAATACAGAGCTAAGTTCTCTGTAAATAACAGCTTAAGGTATGCAAACTAGCATCCTCTGTTAAGGTTCTGACTTTTTATTCTATATGTTAAATAAGAATGTGTTGAATAATTATTTTATCTTTTTAAATTTATTGAAATTTTCATACACTACAGTATTTGTCGATTTCTGAAGTTACTTTGTAACTATCAGTAGTGACATCTGGTATTGTGAACCCATAAGTTTTAATATAAATATGAAGAGTTTTTCTAACATTTTACTATCAGTTAATATGTAATAACTTGGAAAAAGAACAAATAAAACTAAATCTGTTGTGTGTTATCAGTTTAAACACAAGTGTTGATTATTGTTATCCTTTACCCAGTGGATATCTGGTCCGTCGGATGCATCATGGCTGAGCTCATTACGTCTAAACCCTTATTTCCAGGAACAGATCGTATCCTTTGGAGATTACTAGTGTAAAACTTGGCTGATAAGAAATAGCTTTGTTGTGTCCATAATTATGGATTCATTGAATGTTTATATGAAGTTTTCTCACAGACAGAAAATGCACTATGTAGTTTGGAGTACTCATAAAACCATGTTTATTATAACCTGAGTGTTAACTTGTTTCGTTGGTAAAAGAGTAGCCCAAGAGTTGGCGGTGGATGGTGATGACTAGCTGCCTTCCCTCTAGTCTTACACTGCTAAATTAGGGACGGCTAGTGCAGATAGTCCTCGTGTAGCTTTGCGCGAAATTCAAAACAAACAAACGCAAGTGATTATGGTTGTTACAGCTGAACTTATTTCTTTTTGTTTCAGGACCTTAAACCCAGCAACTTAGCTGTGAATGAGGATTGTGAACTAAAGGTAACAAGACCTCTGTAGAAACTTAAATGAAGCTTTTTTAAAAATATATTTTGTTGCTCTTTACTGTTCAGTAACAGCTTAATGGTTTAGTTTAATTAATGTAAAGAATTCAGTTCTCTGTAGGGTGTTTATTTCAATGTTTTAATTTCTGTAAGGTGTAGTAAGTCAGTTCTCTATAGGGTGTTTATTTCAATGTTTTAATTTCTGTAAGGTGTAGTAAGTCAGTTCTCTATAGGGTGTTTATTTCAATGTTTTAATTTCTGTAAGGTGTAGTAAGTCAGTTCTCTATAGGGTGTTTATTTCAATGTTTTAATTTCTGTAAAATGTAGTAAGTCAGTTCTCTGTAGGGTGTTTATTTCAATGTTTTAATTTCTGTAAGATGTAGTAAGTCAGTTCTCTGTCGGGTGTTTATTTCAATGTTTTAATTTCTGTAAGGTGTAGTAAGTCAGCTCTGTAGGGTGTATATTTCAATGTTTTAGTTTCTTTAAGGTTTAGTAAGTCAGTTTTGTCTAAGATGTTGTTGTTTTTTTACGGTGTATTATGCTACTTTTCATGAGTACTAAAGCTGTATGTAAATAACATATTTTTACATTCTTACAGATTCTTGACTTTGGTTTGGCAAGGCATGCTGAGGTAGAGATGACTGGTTATGTTTCCACCAGATGGTACCGAGCTCCAGAAATTATGTTGAATTGGATGAGGTATAATCAAACAGGTAAGGTATTGGATCTTGAGAGAAACTGAAATAATTAGTTTTTTTCTAAAGTATTGATTAAATACTTTTTTTTTTAATATCTAAAGAATCTTCTATACTAATAATATTGCACAACTTCATGAATAGTTTTGAACATATAAAGTATTATCACAACGTCAATGATTCTGTTAATATTTCTTTCATTCTAAATTTATTGAATAAGTGCTTACTAGCATCCTCACCAGGCATGGCCAGGTGGTTAGGGCGCTCGACTCGTTAAACCAAATCCTCAAAAACACAAACCGAACAAAAATTAACTCGCCTCCCACGGACAACACGTTCAAGCATCAGGTGAACACGGTACAATTAAGACCTTAAAATGTTATACGTCTGTTTGCAAAACAGGAAAAGTAGCAACAGCTTATACGTCTAGCTTTAAGAAGAAATCCTCAAGTTATTTTTGAAAAATTTATTTCACCCTTAAAATAATAAAAAATAATGCTCATAATACCCAATGTACGAAAGATTTCATTACCGTAAAAAAGAAAAGTTCAGAACTACACTGGTCGCATTCCTTCAAAAATGTATATTTACTTAACACGGAGTAAGCATACGTATACTATGAAAATAATTCAATCACTCTTAGGTGCAGATAATGAAACAGAAGAGAAATGAGCAAAGCTTAACAACGTGAAGGTTGTTAGAAGCCTCCAGCTTCTTTCACTCTGCTACAGCACATACACCTAAAAAATTAATTTAACCTTTATTGTGCTCTCCCAGTGGCACAGCGGTACGTCTGCGGACTTAGAACGCTAGAGTTTCGACACCCGTGGTGGGCAGAGCGCAGATAGCCCATTGTGTAGCTTTGTACATAATAACAAACAAACCTTCTAGTCTATGCCCCCCTCCCAGTGGCATAGCAGTATGTCTGCGGACTTACAACCCGTAGTGGGCAGAGCACAGATAGCCCATTGTGTAGCTTTGTGCATAATAACAAACAAACCTTCTAGTCTATGCCCCCCTCCCAGTGGCATAGCAGTATGTCTGCGGACTTACAACCCGTAGTGGGCAGAGCACAGATAGCCCATTGTGTAGCTTTGTGCATAATAACAAACAAACCTTCTAGTC